TGCGGCTGGAGCGGCCCGCGCGGTCCCGGAACTCAGCCCCGCACCCGATCCACGCTGGCCAGCCTCGGACTTGGGGGGCTGGGGAAGTGGGGACCGAGAGGACTGTGGAGTGGGTTCGGGCTGAGAAATGTGCAAAGCTGCCAGATTTGCTCGGACCCACTCTTTCTGCGGCGCCTCCCTCCGCTACGATCAAGTCTGTATTTTAGAGGCAATTCCTTAAAAGCTGCAGAAAGTTGTCAGGCTTTCCCCGGGTTTCTAGTCCTCTCATTCAAAGGCTGAGACGTTTAGCTGCAAGACTGGCATCTGTAGACTGACGAGTGCTGGCGCTGGCGTGGATGGGGTGACAAGAGGGAGCTTCCTCCACGGCCTGAGAGAGCAAACCCACCAGGACTGTGAGGGCGCTAAGGTAACCCGGGTTCCGACCCTGGTTCTGCCGGTAGTCTACCCCAACCCATCCAGGCAGTCACTCTCTGAGCTCATCTGAAAGATGTAGATAATCGTCTTTCTCCCACTCACCCCTAGCGCCCTTTAAACAGACAGGCCGGGACAAATGACCCGGTAAGTCGAAGAGCAGATTGAAAGTTAAAATTCCCAGTAATACTTCTATGCCACGAATACGACTCAGTGTTTGATGTCAGAGAACATACAGACAACATAGGTTCCACATAAGAATGTTACAGAAGGCAAGCATGCCTCTTAGGAGATATATGCCATAGACATGAATACATGAATCTCGGCAGCTTACTCTTAAATGATCCTCTGTTGAGTCTAATACGATGGACTCGCCCATGAGACTTATTGAGCATCTACCAAGTTCTAGGAGCTGGAGATTTAAAGATGGCAGTCTCTGTCTCACTCAGCTATTCTCTCCTCTGGGGCTGGATTGCGATAACAGAAGAATGACTAACTCTCTCTTCTGATCCCAACTCTGGAACCTTGGGACGAGGAGAGGAGTGTTAACCCTATGTAAGGAGCCCTGGTGGTGCAAATGGTTAAATGCTCGGCTACTAACTGAAAGGCTGGTGGTTTGAACCCACGCAGTAGATCCTCAGGAGAAAAGACCTCGCGCTCTGCTTTAGTAAAGATTACAGCCTAGGAAACCCTATGGGGGCAGATCTACTCTGTCGCCTGGGGTCGCTAGGAGTCGAAGGCACCTAACAAAAGCAACAAGACTAACTTTGCCAGTGAGTCAACAAAGTGCAGATCTCCAGAAATCAGACTGCCAATAGGTGGACAAGTTTACTAAGATGGGGTTTGCACAGCCTTGAGACTCCTCACTGTGCAGTCGCAGTCTGGAGGTGAAGCTGAGAGGCTGGACTGGAGGCACGTGAGCAGTGAGAGGCAATGGAGAAATTCAGGGTCAGGGACACCAGCATGCCGAAGCCCCCAGTGGATTTCATTGTGAGGACGGGCAGGATGGTGGGCCTCCAGTGGCCATTAGAAGGGGGAGGGGATGGGGGCTCTCCATGGGCTGAAAGCTTTGGGACTCCCTCCTGTAGATCCTGAGTTCCCAACAACCCCTTCTCGCTTTGTCCTTTGGAAAGGTCAAATTGGTGTCCTGAATTGCTGTCATTTTAAATTCATTTTGACAAGTGTTTAATTCTTCTTTATCACAGCCCGTGGTCTGAGAGTGATATGCAAATAATGGCTATTCTGCCGCTCGCAAAACGTGCAGTATCTCCCTGTGTGATCTGTCAATTAACTTGGGGTCTGGCCCTCCAGCCACTTTGGGGGTGGTCCCAGACAGGTTAGCCTCTGGCTCTCTGTTCCCTCCAGGAGAGAAGGGTGTTCTGTTCTATCAGAGTGCTGTCAATCATGTTCCTGAGATGTCTGTGGTGTGTAAGCATGGACTTTCGTGTGTGAGTCTGGGTGTGAATGTTTGAGTGTGAAGGTGAGTGTGCGCACGTGGGCCTCTGAGCTTGTGCATGCACGGGAATGTGCAGCCCTGAGCGATTTCGGTGACCAGAGTTACTAAAAGAAGGTCGTGGAGCCCGAATCTCTGGAGTTCACTCCTCCCTTGCAGCCAAGAAAGTTCAGGAAAATGTGATGGAAAGAGCTCCATCCAAGGATTCATCTTCCTTAAGTTTGTCTTTTTTCCTCAGTGCCTGATGAGGGAGGAAGATGCTTCAGTTCTTCCTCGATTCTGAAAATTCCCAAAGAGAATTCCTTATTTTTGGAAAATAGTTTATTAATTCATTATAGGGACAGGTACATGATCAATGCCCTGGCTTAACACTAAAGAATATCATATTTGTAAAGAGAAAAAAAAATGCTGGAGAAATAATTAAATAATACAGCATAAACTAAATATAGACAAATAAATGAGCAGGTACCGATTACACTTGTCATGCATCAAGACGAGGAAGATTTTAAAATGAAACTTAAAAAAAAAATTAAGGCACCAATGGAAGGTGACAGAGGGATTATTACCCTGTAAAAGGCCAACAGACTCTTTTCTAATAAGAACACGGCTACAGAGACACAATCCTAACACTTCCAGGATTACCCAGGGCCTAAATCATATATAATGCTAGCGAATAATGGCCATTTTCTTATCAAGTGTGAGTTATAGGCAGATACGAGATTTATTACTTAGTTGCTTTTGAGAAAGAATTTTCCACCCAACCTAATGGGTTATAAATTGTCTCATTTGCAGCTATTTAATTTAAACCAGAACCTCAGTGCCTGTTAAACAAGAGCATGAAAAATGACTATGTAGCATAATGCTAGGAGCCCTGGTGGCGCAGTGGTTAAGAGCTAGGTTGCTAACCTAAAGGTGTGCAGTTCGAACTCACCAGCCACTCTGCGGGAGAAAGATGTGGCTGTCTGCTTCCGTAAAGATTTACACCCTTGGAAACCCTATGGGGCAGTTCTACCCTGTGCTATAGTGTTGCTACGAGCAGGAATTGCCTTGATGGCAGCGGGTTTTAGTGTAATGCTAAGATCCTACTGTTAAAACAGCCATTTAACTCAGGGCAGTTTCTTTTTTTTTTTTCTCAAGAAAAAAAAAAAAAATCGAACCAGCAAAATAAAACAAGGCTTTTGACCTCCAGAGCAATAATGAAACATATACAGTGGGGTTAGCCATAGCAATGCTGAGCGCTACAGAAATAGTACAAGTGACAATTCTGCGCTTAACGAGATACAAAACCAACATTAATAATCCTTAGTGTTATCGTAGGCTGGCTGAAGAAGGGGGAGGAGGAGGAAATGTAGGTGCAGATGTCAAATGTGAGTGACATCCGAGTGTAATAAACACAGATGCTTTCAGGGTCTGAGGAAGCTGTGACTCTGCTGAGAGACATCTCATCATTAAAAAAAAGAAGAAAAAAAAAAAAAAAACAGGAAAGATAGACTGGTTATTTCCAATTTGGCCCAGAAGCCAGAGTTAACCCTTGATGTGCTGATTAGTTTCAAAGACGCAATTCGAGAGAACAGACCGCGTGTTCTATGCTCCTAGGAGGGGCTGATGTGGAAAACCAAACAAATGGCATTGTTTGCTCTACACAGGGAAGAGAAGTCAAGCTGTCTCCGTGTGGCAAGTCGACAGAAAATGACGCTAGGATTGAATTTAAAGAAAACAAAAGAAGCCAACCACCCTTGTCCTGGGCAAAGACCTCCCTTCCAGCACCCCAGGGCGGGATTATAGAGAGTGAATGTGCCGGGTGCAGAGACAGGAGATTCCTCTTACCCCGCACCCCAGATCAACTCAAGTTCAAAGCAGATAGAGGCGGAAGGGGTTGGGCTGTGGCTTCCCTAACCCCAGCCTCCCTCCTCTGCCATTAGCTGGGAAGAAAGGTCAAAACCACCACCATCCAGCAATCCCATGTCCCTGCAAAGAAGGGAGAGAATAATTTTATCCTGAGCCTCTGGGGGGAGGAGGAATCACATTCTCCTTCCGTCTCAAAAATCCCCTTCAGTGACGTGAAGGAGAACCTCTTACCTCAACCCCAAGGTGAAAGGTACCAGGGAAGCTGGAAGGTTTTCTCCCCACCAGCCCTGAGGCTGGGGGTGCTGTATGGAAACAACTGCCTGGGGAGGGAACGTGCAGAACACTGAGAGAAGAGGGGGCAGGGGGACACGGATGACATGAAAGGCGCAGGCACAGGAGTCACACTATGGCCTCGAACAGACATGAGGTAGTCATGTTGTCAGGGAGGACAGATACTGAACCCAGGCAGGAGAACTGATGACACAGTCTGCGAGAGATGTGAGAGACGGAGAGACAGAAAGAGATACAGCCGAGAGACACAGAGGCAGAGAAAGACAGACAAGGGGAGAGTGAAAGACAGAAACAGGAGAGACGAAAGGAGAGCAACAGGGAGGAAGGGAAGGGCCCTAGAACTGGGGGAGCCAGGTGACTGGGAAACAGACCAGGCAGAGCAGCAAAGGGGAAGGGAGGAAAGAGAGAGAAAGGGAGACAAGCAGATTTTCAAAACCAGGCACTTCACACGTTACAAAATCATACGCAGAGTTGCTCTGAGGGGAGCCAGGGTTGCCCTCTCTGGGCAGTGGGGTGTGGGAGGCGATGCAGCTAAAGTGTTGGGCATTAGAGCCCATGTGCACTCAGCCCAGCCAGACAGGAAGATGGGCCGGGGTTGTCTTTGTCAGACAGGGCACTGGAGACACTCTCAGAGTGTGTAATAAAAGGCTGGGTGACGCAGGTGGGGGCCCACAGGGCTGGGACTGACCGCTCTGGGCATTGTCCAGACTTGGGGGATCAACTGGGCTGGAGTGAGCACGGCTTGGGCCCAGGTTCCCCAGCTCACCAACCAGCACACATCCATGTGCCCCACACATGTACACATCCCATGTAGCTGTGTCTCACGTCTCTCACATATCACATATGTACTGCAAAGAGTATGGGAGGAGCCAAAGCACCCAGGCTCCAATCGGCTTGCTGATGTTCAGTATCTTCAGGTACAAGGTGAAATGTATGGCGTCTCATGCCATTCCCGTGACCCACACCAGCCTGCTCCAAACCGCACACTCTAGGGGAGCTAAGCAGAGGAGGAGACTGGGGCTCTGGGCAGGGCTGGGCTGGCTGCTAGAGGGCAGGGGGCCTTTGGCTGGCAGCTGTTCCCAGGGGCCTCCTCCAGAGCCTCACCAGGTGGAAGGTCTGGGTAGGGGCAGGAGGCACTGGCTGCCTCTGGCAGGCACGTAAGTCTGTCTGACCCAGTGGCTGCCTGCTCACACCCTCCCAGCTCCAGGTCCAGCCAGGCTGCCCCCTGCCGTAGATCCACAACACGCGAGGTGAGGTTAGGAGCATCCGAAGGCAGGGCAACCTCAGGTTCCAAGTCCTGGAGATGGAGGTCAGGGTTCCCTTTGGATGCACTAAAGTCAGAGTGGACAATGACTTCAGCCTCCACCTGGTTCCTGCAGGCTGGGGGTGCCTTCTTCCTCCCGTTGCCCTGGTCAGAGCAAAAACCACAATGACAAACTGCCCATCACTGAGAGTGACCATTCCACACCAGCTGAAACAGATTCCCGCACACTGGCCTGCCCGCCACCGACTCGACCTTTGGAGGTTCTAGGAACCTCCTGGCTAGTCTCCTCTCCCCGCGGAAAACACCTTCCAGAGGTTTCCAGAGAACTCACTGCTTTCTCTTTAGAAGCATGGGGACCCTTCCCTCCTTTCCTCCTCCTTCCCCCCAGGAAACAAAAAAACCTAAACCAGTTGCCTTCCAGTAGATTCAGAATCAGGCAACCCTACAGGGTTTTCAATAGCTGATTTTTTGAAAGTAGATTGCCAGGCCTTTCTTCTGCCCACCCAGGGACTACCTCCTCCCCCAGGACACTGACCTGTATGGCATCATACACCAGAGCCTGCAGCAACAGCGTCTGTCCAGTTCCGGCAGGGGGCAGCAGGGCTCGGGTCAGAGAGGGCATGGGGCCCGCCTGGGGTAGCTCACAGCCTGCCCAGGAGCCTGCCCAGCTCAGCCCAGCAGGCTGACCCCAGGAGATCTGTACAGGGCAAGAAGGGGGAGCATTAAGGGACAGGACCAGCCTTGGCTGGGCTTGGGAAACAGGGAGGGAACTGGATGGGACGCGGGGAAGAAGGGGGCCCCGTCTGCTGGTCCCCGCTAAATCCCTTCCCCCGAGGCTCTGGGGGAGGAGCACAGAATGGGCTGAGAGTCAGTGGAGGAGGATTTGGAGATGGACGAGTCCTCCTGCAGAGAACCCTGATACCAGATGCTCTGTCAAAGCCTGGAGGCTTCTAAGCAAGGCCAGGTCTCCAGCACAGAGGCAGGGCCAGGATGAGACCAGGGCTCAGGGGTTCCAGAGGGCTGATCAGAATAGGGCGTGATGTGCCACCACCGATGGCATGGAGGGGGCCTGCCCTGCGGGAAGCTGGCCTTCCATTGGCCCCAGTACCACGCCGCCACAGCCAAGCTTACCAGTCTCTTTCCCCATGGCGGCCAAGGCTGAGACTTAGAGGTCTTCTCAGCTCCCAGGATGAGGAGAGAGCTGGGTTTTCTAGCCTCTTTAGTCACCTACAATCCCTTGGGGGCCCTCCCTCCGTGAGAACCAGGCTGACCTAGTCTGCCAGGGGATAGAGGGCCATCTGCTTCTTGCCCTGCCAGCCCTTTCATGGAGGAGGGAGAGAGCCACTTCTCGGCACCTGGCCCAGAAGTGGGGGAGGGGCTGGGGCGTGGCTTCTCTCACAGGGGCACAAGCTGTGCTCTCGCGCCCCCTGGTGTCCCTTCCGGGAATGAGCCACAGTGTGGGGCTCTAACCTGGCAAGAGACCCACTCAGGCTGGGGCTCACCTTTCGCTTGGACTGACCCCGGCAGTCCAAAACGCCGCCACCCATAAGGCTATGCACTTCAGCCCTGTCCTCGACGTCTGACGGCGGTGGGGACCAGTCCTGAGGACGGGGGTGTACGAGGGACTCCAGTTCGTGGGCAGCTGGGGGGCTGGGGGGGCCCAGCCGGGCTCGGGAATACAGTGCTGGGTTCCCAGTGGCGGCTGTGGAGGACAGGCCCGGGAGGGCTTCCCTGGAAGGAAAGATGGGGAGCCAGGCACAGTGGTCAAAGGGGGAGGGCTGGGGGAGGGGCTGGGATCTAGAGCAGCCTATGGCTCTGTGTAGGTCCCTGTCCCGCCCTGGGACTTGGTTTCCTTATCTGTGCAATGAACAGAAAACTCTGGGATTGCTCAGAGCAGCTATGTCACTGCAGATGAGGCCATCCTTCGCTTGGCTCCAGGCATCTGGAGATTCGGGGCCTCTTTCCCAGATGCTGGCAGCTTTCAGACGAAGAGGGAGAAAGGCAGTTCTGCCTGTGCCTGCCCCCTGCTGGCCTGGGCTGGGGGCTCCCCTAAGTCTACCTCTCCATTCTCATGACAACCTCACCCCCATCCCTCCATCCCAGAGTCCAAACTGTAATCGGGCTCCTGGGGGTGCCGAGCAGAAGGAGTGGCCACCTTCCTGCTCTCCTATCTTTGCAGCCCTTCCTGGAATCTCCCCACTGCGGTGGGACTGGCTCCCTTGCCCACCTGTGGGGGCTGCGGCGCAGGCCAGCACACATGCAGGCCAGGAGGCAGAGGAGGCCCAGGCAGACGCCCACGATGATGCCCGTGACCGAGTGTACGTCCAAGGAGTCTGGCAGGGGACAGGGAGGGGGCACAGCAGGTCAAGGACAGGAGGGGGCACCGAGTCTCGCCCTCTGGACACTCCCAGTCTTCTGATGCATGGCCTGATAGGACGACCACTCCCTCTCCTTCCTCTGTCCTCTCTGCAGACATCCAGATGTTGTGCCTTCCCCATCAAACTGGCCATTCAAAGAAACACACCCTTTCCTGCCCACCAGGAGTGTGCAGCCTCACAGGGTCCCATGCTCAGAAGGGCCCTGCACTTGGTTGAATGTTCTGCTGTCAGTCACCATCTTGAAAATCTTGATAATGTTTTAATAAAGGGACCTGAATTTTCATTTTGCACTGGGCCCTGCAAATTACGTAGCCAGTCCCGCTGTCTGCCTCCATCCCCTAAAGCTGGTCACCTCACTAAGCCAATCCTACAGTCAAATCAGTCTCCTAAAGAAGCCGGGATCCCTCCAAGAAGGTCTTCAAACCAAACCAACCAAAAACCCATTGCCATCGAGTTGATTCCTACTCACAGCGACCCTACAGGACAGAGCAGAACTGCCCCAGAGGGTTTCCAAGGAGCAGCTGCAGGATTTGAACTGCCGACCTTTTGGTTAGCAGCAGAGCTCTTAACTACTGCACCACCAGGGCTCCCCAAACCAAACCAGTCCCTCATAAATCCGGCCTCCCAATCAAATCCTCACTCATCCACACCAATTTCCGCTTGAAATTCTCCTTCTCCCCACCAAAGCAAGAGGGTAGCCGCCCAGAACAATGAAAACGTAGTTGTACGCAGAGGCGGGGGCTTGGAAGAGATGGCTTTGGGGATTCGAAGCATCCAAGTCCACTCCAGGGGCCTCTAGGGAACTCTAGGGACCCAGGATGGACCCCACTGTGTCCTACCTGCCCTCATACCTGAGAGCTTCTCCTGGAGAGTGATCACATCCTGCAAGCCAGAGAAGGGCCCAGGCCCCACCTCCGTGCGCGCCCCCATCTTGAAGAAGTACCTAGTGTCGCTTTCTAGGCCATGCACCTCAGCACTGAAGATGTTACCTGGGGGAGGGGGCAGCAGGGAGAGCAGGGTTGGTGGATGGGGTAGGGGCGGATGCTGGGGTGGACAGGGAAGCAGGACTGAGCACAGCTGCTGTCCCCCCACCCAGCCTCGCCCCACTCAGGTAGTAGCATCTCCCTACTCGGCTCCTCCCACAATCCCCTAGGACAAACCTCAGTGGCACTCTCACTGCTAATCCAGTCAATGGGGAAGTGGGGAAGGGGAGAGGGGTGGAGAAGCTCACACTCAGATCCCCTGGGTGGGTGGGTGAACGGGAGCCCTCACCCTCGCCCTGGGGGTGGGTGAATGGGAGCCCTCACCCTCCGTGGTGACCAGGGTCCACTGGTGCTCAGGCTGGGTGTGGTTGTTGCTGTACAGGATCAGGTACTCCACGATCTCTCCGTTGGGTTCCGTGGGGGGGCACCAGTGCAGCCGGACGGTGGACGGCGTCAGGGGGCTCAGGCGCAGGTCTGACGGGGGCGTTGAGGGCCCTGAGGTGCAGGGGTGAAGATGGAAGAGGCAGGGTCACTGAGAGCCCTGGCTCTGTGGCAGCTGGGAGACAGAGCACAAGAATACGGCCTCCCTTCTTTCCCAGTCAGTGAACAAACCACAAACCCTCAAGGGTCAAGCAAAGATGAGGGCTGCAATTTCTGGAAAACCATAGGCGGAAACGGGCTTTACCACTATCCCTCCCCTCTCAGAAGCTCTTTTCCACTCAGCTCTGCCCAATCCTTGGAGCACAGCTCCTCAAACTTTCACACCCAAATACTTCTAAGGGTTGAGGAGACTGTCCCAGAATTCTAGGGGCCTGGGGGCAAAGCTCAACAATTTTTGGAAGGCTCACATTTTACTTTTAACTCTCATACTGCATTTGCACCTATTCCACAGTAAAGTTCAATATTAAAATAATGTTTAAAATTATTTATCATTTTGAATTCCAATTTTCCCCAGAAAATCTTCAAGTAAAATTGGTTGTACATGAGGATGTCGTATGTAGCTTTTGTCTATGCCTACCCCAGTCACAGGCTCCCACAGACTCATGGGAATCCCAGTTGGAGAAGTACCACCATAGAAGGGTCTGTGTTTTATTTTAAGAGAAATGAATCCTGGGAGGTGGGCAGGGCAGATGGATGAGGAAGGTGAGAGGTAGGGACCCCAAGTGACTGGAGTAGGGAAGGGACTCCGATCTTCAAGGGTGTAACGGGGTCTCAGGGCTCTAAGGCATAACAGAACCACAACATCATGGGCCACCAGCAACCCTCTTTGACCCCAAGCACATCTCCACTTCTTAGGCTCCAGGCTCCCCATTTGCAAAAGGAGAGGAACAGCCCTCTTTTGTAGCACCAACAGTTGAGCTGGGGATCCAGTGACATAAAGCTTCCTCTGAGAACACATCAGGTCTCCCTAAAGTCCCTGTGCAGTTTTAAACCATAATAACTGAGATTAGAGGTGGATGAGAAACAATTTATAAGTATTTTTTAAAAGCAAACTCGTGAGAGCTGAGGGCTTCCCCATAGCACACGCACGCACACCACACACATCTTTCCACTTCAGATCCTGGGACAGAGGACAACGATCTTCTGTCGACTGAGAAGGTAAACAGTCTCAGGGCCAACAGAACCAAACAGCTTCTGCTGCAAGAAGAAAATTCCATCTGTCTTGAAGTGCCATTTCTAGATTGTTCTTACGGATGCAAGAGACAGATTTGCAGAGCAAACGGTCCCATCTTCTTTTACAGACAAGGCCACTGAGGCTCTGGGTGGAGAAGGGACCTGCCCATAGTCTCCCTGTGTGTCAGGGACAGGATGGGGACCCAGAATAAGAATCCAAGACTCCTGCCTCCCCCACCTGGCCTCATGAACGCCACAGACTCTTAAGAAGCCACTCACCTAAATCCTAGTCATTACTGGTCATTATGTTTACAGGTAAATGGTTAAGACCAGCACAAGGGCTGTCCTATACAAATGCAAAGCAAATGATGGACACTGGTTCTGAGGGATGTTTCAGAGAAGAGGGCTGCTGGAGGGAGAAGGGGTTGGGTAAAAGATGGGTTGCTGGCCAGAGGACCAAGGGTCTACTCACGGTCAGGCAGGGTGGAGCGCTCCACCACAGAGCCAAAAGGCCCATCCATGTCCACGCCGTGGGACTGTACCGCAAACTCGTATTTGGTGAATGGCTTCAGCCCACCAATGAGAATGTCTTCACCAGAGCTGTTGAGGCAAGAAATGGTGACTAGTGCTTTCAGCCCACTGACCCAGCAGAGTAAGCTCCTCCAAATCTACTGCACTGCCCCAGCCCCAGCTCCAGGCCCAATCCTGGAAAGTGAAGCTGCTCCCTGGTGTGGGGGCCACTCACACCCCCCCCAGAGGGCCTACAGAGAGGTCTGGTATCACTGCTCCATGTCTACTCACAAAGCTAGGTTCCTCCTCCAGGCCCCTTCCTGGATTAATCCAAGCTATTCCCTACCCAAGGAACCATCTCTGATGCATCTTCCCCTTGGCTTATTCTTTTTTTTTTTTTTCCCCAACACTTTATTTATGTATTTTTTTAAATTGTGCTTTAGGTGAAAGTTTGCAGCTCAAGTTAGTTTCTCTTACAAACATTTATACACACATTGATATGTGACCCTAGTTGCTCTCCCTATACTGTGACAGCATACTCCTCCTTTCCACCCCGCATTTCCTGTGTCCATTCAACCTGCTCCTGACCCTCTCTGCCTTCTCATCTCGCCTCCGGACAGGAGGTGCCCATTTAGTCTTGTATATCTACTTGAACAAACAAATCTGTCTTGGAAGAAGTACAACCAGAATGCTGCTTAGAAGGAAGGATGGCGAGGCTATGTCTTACATACTTTGGACATGTCAGGAGGGATCAGTCCCTGGAGAAGGACATCATGCTTGGTAAAGTACAAGGTCAGGGAAAAAGAGGAAGACCTTCAATGAGATGGATTGACACAGTGGCTACAACAACGGGCTGAAGCATAACAATGACGGTGAGCATGGCGCAGGACCGGGCAGTGTTTCGTTCTGTGGTGCATAGGGTTGCTAGGAGTCAGAACCGACTTGATGGCACCTAACAACAACAACAACATCTACTTGAACTGAAGAGCATACTCTTCGTGAGTATCATTTTATATCTTACAGTCCATTCTATTCTTTGTTTGAAGAGTTGGCTTCGGGAATGGTTTTAGTTCTGGGTTAACAGAGAGTCTGGGGGTCATGTCTTCTGGGGTTCCTCCAGTCTCATTCAAACCATTAAGTCTGGTCTTTTTACTATAATTTGAGTTCGGCACCCTACTTTTCTCCTGTTCCGACAGGGACTCTCTGTTGTGTTCCCTGTCAGGGCAGTCATTGGTGGTAGCCAGGCACCATCTAGTTCTTCTGGTCTCAGGCTGATGGAGTCTCTGGTTTATGTGGCCCTTTTGTCTCTTGGGCTAAGATTTTCCTTGTGTCTTTGGTGTTCTTCATTCTCCTTTGCTCCAGGTGGGTTGGGACCAACTGATGTATCTTAGATGGCTGCTCCCCCTTGGCTTAATCTTGCTTTTATTGCTTAATTATTGCGTTTTCAGTGATCCTCTGCCAGAACAGCAGATCCTCAGGGCAAGGGCTCTGTCTTCCCATCTGGCTGGGGATTCTCTCAGGGTAGGGGTGGGTTGTCTCATCCTCATCACTCTGAGAGCTCCCTGAGGTTGGAGAAATAGGTCTGTCTTGCATCTCGTTCTCCAAGGGTTGAGTATGAGGCTCTCTTGTGAGGGGATGGGATAGATGGACAATCCTTTTCTACCTGTTACCATCAGGCCAGACGGCAAGGAAGTGGACCCGGTGCAGACACTCAACGTGCCCCCAGCGTAACAGGGGAGCAGTGAAATGTCCCCCTCCCCATCACCATCTGCTGCCCTGCCCCCACATCTGCTCCTCCTCTCCCTTTACAGCATCAGCCTCTCTCCCCACCTGGTGTAATAGGTGACCAAGGAGGCATTCCTGAGTCCCCAGGGGCTGAAGCGCACTGTGTAGTTGACAATCTTGACTGTGGTGAAGTCTGGCTTTTTCCACCGAAGCCAAATGGATGTGGAGCTGTTTGACTCTGCGTGGACATGGGCAGGTGGCAAGGGTGGACCCCTCTGGATGGGCAGGTCTGGAAGGTGAACAGCGTGGGAAGGGAGAGAGGACATTCAGCCTTACATATCTACAGTGATCAACACTGCCCAAGGCACCTTCTCTACTCCGTCCCTTCAGATCCTGTGAGTTGGGTGGCATCATTCCCACTTCACAGATGAGGAAACTGAGGTTCCCAAGAATTTAAGGGACTTTTGCCAAGGCCATACATATAGCACAGCATAGAACACTAGTATGTAAAAATGCGGTAGAAAGAAGTAGCAAATCACGGCAGTTAAGAGCACAGACTCTGGAGCCAGATTGCCTTGGTTCAAATTCCAGCTCTGTCACTTACTAGCTGTGTGACCTTGAACAAGTTACTTAACCTCTCTGTGCCCCCATCCCTATTCTGTAAAGTGGGGCTGATAACAGTACCTACCTCATAGGGTTGTTATGATGAATAAATTAGTTAGTATTTGTAAAGTAGACAGAAAAGTGTCTGGCATACAGAAAGTACTCTATGATAAGTATTTATTATATACACATAAAATCAAATAAACTCCATGAGAGCAGGTACCTTATTTGTGTTGTTCACCACTAAATCCCCAGAACAGAGCTGGCACGGAGTAGACACTCAGTAAATATTTGCTGAATGAATGAATGAACAAACTGGAATTAGAACCCAGGTTTCTTGGCTCCTGGCTGAATGCTCCATCCACTAAGCCACGTGGTTGAAAGGCAGCCTGGGGAATTGGGGCGAGGGAGTGTCATGATGGTCAGCCAAGGTGTCCAACACAGGGTCACGAGCCATGTACTGCAGTGGAAAGACTTGTCTGGGAGCCAGGAGTCCTGGTTCTAGTGCCAGCTCCATGTGACCTTGGATGAGTCCCTTTACCTCTCTAAGCCTCCATGTCCTGGTGGGCCACACAGGGACACTCTCCCTGCTTATCATCTAGAGTTGAGTGATAATCTGATAGATAATGTA